CTTACGCTGGTGGACTCGTATTAACAGATTATTTCGTTTCTCTAATCCTAGCAGAAAGAGTTCCTTGAGGCTATTGTTTAACTGGAACTGGATTTTGGAACACAAAGCGCTGGGCTACTTTATCATCTGAAGTATAGATTTGCCAGTAAAATACCTTTTTGAATGAGGCTGATTTGCACCTTGTATAGATTGACATTGCTCTATTGAAGTCAATGGAAGGACAATTTTTACCTGCAAAGGATCTGCCATAAAACACCGTTTCTTTTTCAGAAATATTAGAAATACCCAAATCCACAAATAAGAGTCTTATGCAGAGCAACATGTATTATCATGATTAAGTGTATAGCATAGGGTATCTGTATTTCTGTTGTACACGAGTTCAGTCTTTTCATTAGTTGCATGCCCATGAAATTCCCTTCAGTGAAATTGTGGCCCACACAAAAAAGCCTCTGTATTCAAGTCCCAACTTTGGCAGCAATTCTGATCATGTGCCGTTTTCAGGATATTTTACAAACTTCTTAAAGTTTCCATTTTCCTCATCTAAGGTTACAAACAAAGTTTATTTGTTTTGTTGTTGAATATCACTATCTGATATAGTCTTTCCCAGTTCTTATATCTCCATCTTTGAAATATGGCTATTCTGTCTTCGCAATTCCTTTTACTGTAATGTCTTTTTGTCTAGTATGCTAATGGCCACAACAACAATTTTCTAAAAAAATGGAATACACCGTAAAAATGATTTGTGTAGGAAAAGGAAAAACCATGGCTGAATCATTGAGCAGTAAATTTGGCAGAGCGCCATGTCTGGGCCGCAGTACAGTTTACCTGCCCACTTCCCTCTCCTGCTTCATGACTTTCAACTCCTATTTAATTGTATTTCACGAGACACATCTAGAGGCACCTCTACAGTTAATGGCATCTAAAGTACAGACATTCTTGCCCAGCTATAATGGGTTTAAAGACAGTATAGATCGGGGTGGCCAACCAGTTAGATACGAAGAGCTAAAAGAGCTGTGGATAGTAGTGCAAAGAGCCACACATCCCTCCCCCTGAGCCAGGCAACCCTAGACCCCTCCCATTCTAACCCAATGCCTGGGTCTCACCAGAGCTGCCACTGCCACAGCCATGCACTTGTCCCTCCAAACGAACTGTAACCCTGAGAGCCACATTTCTGTGAGCAAAGAACCGCATGTGGCTCAAGAGCCACAGTTTGGCCACCCCTGATATAGATGGTGAGGCACCTCTGGCATGAGGAGAATGTTTACAAGTATGAAGCCTAGAGCAGGGGTTCCCAAACATTTTGACACGGGGACGAGTAAATCCATTCATGAGCTTTGGGAGGACCGGTAAAATTCATTTGCATATTCATTAAGCAAATGAAGAATATGCAAATACATTGTTTTTGGTCCTCCCAAAGCCCCCAGGGCCAGCTTTAGCAAAGCTTTTGATATGGCCACCCACAACATTCTTACCAGCAAGTTAAGGGAATATGGGTTGGAAAAATGGATTGTAATCCAGTAGAAACCCTGCACCACCACATTGTGTATTGAAAAAGGGCTCCTTTATTTTCAGAAAGCTGACACCATCTTTGGAATTTTTTATCCATATTCTCATTCCGGATGGTGAATGCACCAGGTTCTCTCCATTCTGACACAGTGTAGTGCCTTTAAACCTCACTGTCAGCAGTGGGGATATTTAAAAGGCACTGCTTTTACATTTTTAATCAGGATCTGCATGCGCCCTGCACTGTCCCGCTCACTGCTGGCCGATTCTCTCTCCCCTCCCCCCCATCTTCCCCCTCCCTGGGCCACTGGATTTGGACCCTCTGTCCAGTAAAAAAAATCCAGAAAATACTGGACATGTGCAATGTCCGGTATTTCCTGGATTTCTGGCTGGGCGCCTGACGGAAGCCTCCTCGTCCCCAATCTCCCCGGGCCAGCTGCCCTGCCCCACCTCCCTGCTCCCACCCATCTCCCCCAGCCAGTCCCGCTGCCCCTGCCAACCCTGCTTCCGCCGGCCGGTTCCCCTCCCTATCTCCCCCAGGCAGCTCCACTGCCCTGACCCTGCTTCCCTGTGGCCCATATCCAACCCCTCCTCCCCCCCTCCACAGCCAGCAATAAGAGCTCACCTGGTAACCCTCACTATGCCTCTGCCGGGAGCCTGAAACATACGGCTGCATCCGCCCAGCCCGGCTGAGGGCTTGGGGAACCCGGCGCTGCATGGGCCGTCCAGGAGCCCTGAACACCCTGGCAGCCACGCTGAGGCCCAGTATTTTTTTTCCCGCGGCCCAGTACCGGGCTGCGGCCCATAGTTTGGGAAACTCTTTGCTAGATGATCCACCAGACATCCATAACAGAAGACTGTACCAATCAGATAGTAATACTTAGCATTTGTATAAACATTATATACATGATGTGCTGCACAAATATTAATCCTCACAGTGCCTTTGTGTAGATAAGCCACTTGGAGAAGATGCTCCTGACTTTGGCAGATGTAGTTGTTCTGTTACATGAATGGAGGAAGTAGGATAGGAAATGAACTCAAGGACAAGTTTTTTTTTTTTTTTTTAAAGAACTGAATCCATTTATCATGTATGTTGGTATAAAACATTTTAAGCAAAACTCAACACTATAATTACCACGGCGTACTCTTATTTGAAGATGGTTTCAGAAAGCTGATAGATCACCGGCAGCATATGGACATCCTATCAGAATTGTGCTAGTGGATTAATTTCTGATTCCATATTCCAGAACATTTGAGGAGGCTGAATTTTGTTTTGAGAGAAGTGATAAAAGATACTTTCCCAATTAAGATCAGGTTGCCAGGTAGCAATAGGCTACATAATATAGCCAGCACTATTCAAGCTAGAAAATAACTCTTTCCTGGCCATGACTTGGCACATAGCTGAGGTACAGCAGCCTCACATAAGAGTGGAAATTTTCATACCTAATTTAGTAAACCCACACTTACAGAGTTTGTCAGGATTTCAATTATCGACTCTCTGGTTTCAAAGTTTAATACTTGGCCATAAAAAATAACTTTGGTCTGAAACCCATTTTCTAAACTCTCTGCCCAAGGAGTTACTGGAATATAAACACATAAGATTAGGAGAATGACTTATTCACACAGATGCAACTGTCTGGAGAACTCTTGTGATTCCAGGATTGTTCAAGAGAATTAGATGTGCTGAAGGGTAAAAAGAAACATTATCTATGAAGAAAGCAGCTACATACAACATAACGTGTAATTCCGCTTTAAATAAAAAACGATATCCAAAGATGTAAAAGCATATGACTGAAAATAAGACATCAAGCAAACAACATTACACTGTCTTTTCAGTATGTTTTTTAGGAAAATCTGAACCAATTAACACATTTACTTTTCTCCAAAAGAATACCCAAAACAGCTATTAAAAATGAATATTTTATTAGCGGATTCATATAAACTTCCTACATTATGATGGTGAAAATAATCATTCCATAGGTATGCAATTACCACATCATACCTCCCTAGTCTGTCCTCAACTAAAAGAAGTCAGTTAAGAGCTAAAACGAGAGGTTTTTTTTTTTTTTAAAAAAAGGAACAAATTAGCAAATCCATACAAGTGAAAAGTCAGACTGTAAATTTTGTACTTTAAACCACAAATAGAATGTTAATGCGTCTTTCACATTAACTGTATCCTACCTACAAATATAGAGTGTAACTTGAGACAACACCCACTGTATGGTTAGGATGTTTTCATATTCAGAACAGCAAGTGATAAATGTCCATTTTGTTAGACAAAGAGGGACTGTGACCCAGCTTTTAAATAGATTAAACAAAAACTTGCTTATTTTTAAAAGGAATGTAATGCCAATAATGGAATCCAGGTCAACCAAAATCTAAAGAAAATTAAGCAGTAATCTGAGAGAGATTTGTCTCCAATTACAGACAGTTATCTTCTTCTATCATGTATACCTCTTCTGCCTCCTAGCCAGCAAAACGTGTTCTGTGCTTCTACTTGGGTTACCTCATAGGTCAACTTCCAGATAAAATATTTCTATATGCTTTGGAAACCTGCTATATATTATTTTGGAGTGTAAATAAACTTACTTTATGTAACATGTGGCTAACTTTCTATGTAACATATAGTCTACTTTTTACCTCAGTGGTGAAAGTTCTTGCCAATGCCTTAACATGCAATGTAACTGGCTGCACATTGGCCAAAGCAGCTGTAAATTTGGCTTCTGAACCAATGGTGACAGGGGTTTAAGAGCAGGAGTTGGTGGCAGGGGAATCCTCACACATGCTAGAGCACTGGCTACCATTTTCCCTGTCTGAGGAATATGTTCTGAATGTTCACTTCTGAAACGGCCTCCACATTTTTATGGCTTTGTCGGGCTAATTCTGACTTAATTCCTTCTGGTTTGGTCAGATTGAATATTATGCATCTGTTGGCAGCCAGAAGTTTGCAAACCACCTGTATTGTCCCAGATTAGAAGAAGTTATAAAATGGCGATGTTCTTTTGAACATCTGACAAGCCCTGTAATCCAGGGCTACCCATTTTTCTCACTTTCCCCGTGTTCCTGTAAATACAAGATATTTTTTAAAAATTTCTGCCAGAATATTTAATGATGTCTACATGTGTGCATATAATCCCTGACACTGGATACTTTATTTACCATATTGATTTCATTTAAATTTCATTAAATCGTCTTTCTAAGGAGAATTTCCATTTCTAAGCTGGGTAATGTTGGATTGTTAAAAACTGCATCTTTGTGTGTTTGAAAATGTAACTCGGGACTTAGAGAGAGGTTTGTTTCCTCTTTGAGAGACATGAGGGAAAGAAAGTGTTAGCATGAACCATTTGAGCTGACATCTGAGCAGGATCTTTAATTATCCCTAATCCAACTCTGTTGATTTGCAACCTGAACAAAGAGACAAGAAAACAAAAGTGTGGCATGTGTAGCGATGTAACTTGTGATCTTGTTTTTTATGTTTTGCATCTGTAAATTTCTAGGAGTTTCCTAGGCATCTTCCATTGAGTGAGGCAGAATCTCAACTTCAGCCTGCAGCAGAGGTGAGATGCACTCTGTGTGCTTTCTTGTGGAGACTTTACGCTTGTTCTTTCTTTTTTGTTGCTTGCTTAAATCTAAAGCAAACCATTCATACTAAAAGTAAAAGACTGGGATTTTTTTTTGTATGTTGCCAGCATCAAAAGAAACAAAAATGCACCTTGCACCAAAGCAGGGGGATCCCATAGTGCAATCGTTAAAATTTACCTAGTCAGAAAAGCAAAATGAATATCATCTGACTTTGTGAGCTCATTAGAGAGAGGAGGGAATAAAGGTGTGACTGATGAGAAGGCTGAATACAAAAACCAGGAAAGAGTATCTCTTGAATTTTTTGTCTCCTCTAGTTTCCAGGTCTCAAGCTCACGAGAGACACGGAAGTCCAACTAGACTGTGTGCTTTAATAACAACTGCATTTTATACTCTTCTTGTAAATAACCTTTCTGCCACATTACTGATGCTTTCTATTAATTTTTCAGTAAGGTGTGCACTGTGCAATCTATTTATTTTGCTCATTTTCTTTACTGGGCTTTGGCCATGCAAGATAAATGTTGTATTTATAATCCCCCTTGACTGCAATGTTTCATGGACATTGCCTGTTGGTCTTCCTCTTGGAAGCTTCTTTTTAAGGACTCTTTATGGGCAGATCGGTTCATCCTGAACAGAGATGCGTTTGAGTCGTAGCCCCGGAATCTGATCAGTTGCTTGGAAACATGTATTTTTTTAAACTATTTTTCTGTGGCCAGGAATGTTTGTGAAAGATTTCAATCTGTAGGACAGGTAAGGTCTGAGAGGCAATGAAGGAGGGGTTTCTAAGGATCATAAAAATATTTAGAAAATTGATTTTTTCCATTGTTGAAATCACCATGTATTGTCAGATACTTGTCTGACTGACACATTACAAAATTAATTTGTTACCCTCTTCTTCAAGATAGTTCTTGTATATCCATGTCACTTTCAAGGAACGTTTTGTCTTTTTGTTACAATATCTGTATTATTTAGAAAGTGTTAATTGAAATGCCTTCTATGAAGGGATAGCTAGTGACTTGTTTTACATTAGATGGGAACTGAGAAGGTGTTAAAAATCAAAAAGAACGTAGCCCCTCACAAACACAATGCGAGGTTATCAAACAAACAAAACAGGTTGAACTAAAGAGGACTTTGCTTAGGCTTAGAGATGGACCTCAAAGCAGTGTTATAAACCCAGATCCAGTTTTTGTATAGACTAAATGGGATACGGGGTGAATCGTGAAGCACATTGTTGCTACCTGCCCTTTCTGTGAGGAAAGCTTGTTGGGGTATTCAGGATCAGGGGGATCACAACTCCACTGGCTACATGTCCCTTTAGGTCTACACAAGCCTCCCTCTCTATTCAGGCTAGTGATAGGCATACTCCAACTTCTGCACTCTTGAAAAATGCCAAAATGATCAGGGAGCTGAAAGACATGACCTATGAGGAGAGGCTGGGTTTGTTTAGTCTGCAGAAGGGAACAGTGAGGGGGGATTTTATAGCAGCCTTCAACTTCCTGAAGGGAAGTTCCAAAGAGGATGGAGAAGAAGCTGTTTTCAGTAGTGATGGATGGCAGAACAAGGAACAATGGTCTCAAGTTACAATGGGGGAGGTCTAGGTTGGATATTAGGAAAAACTACTTCACTAGGATAGTTGTGAAGTACTGGAATGGGTTACCTAGGGAGGTGGTGGAATCTCAATCCCTAGAGGTTTTTAAGTCTTGGGTTGACAAAGCCCTGGCTGGGTTGATTTATTTGGGCTGGGTCCTGCTTTAGGCAAGGGGCCTGGACTTGATGACCTTCTGAGGTCTCTTCCAGCCCTATGATTCTATCCTCCTCGAGAGTCCAGGCCCTGGTCCACTGTATACTAGCAGCATTCAAAGACTCACTGCTTCCAGAAAAGCTGCACCCCACCCACCCATTTCACCTCAGGTCACTGCTCTGCTTAGCGCACTGCACTTGAGAGGTTCAAGGGCAAAAATGAGTACAACTTCATTTAACAAGTGATCACAGGTAGAAGTGTTACATAAATAGTTACATATTAAAAAAATAAAGCCATAGCACTCATTCTAGAACTTAGCATTACTTAGATACCTTCATGTCTCCCACATTACTCTAAAGTCTTTCATTTTACAGCCAGGCTTGGCTGTGACCCACTATTCATGAGGTAAGTCATGCTGTCAGCTTGTATCCTTGGTGAAAGATCTTGCATGTCTCTTAGGGTATGTCTACACTACAGAGTTTTGCTGGGAAAATGGCCAGTTTTTCCGACAAAACTTGAGGAACATCCACAATGCAATTGCATACTTCCGCAAGAAATTCGAAAGAACAGAGTGTTTTTTCTGCCATTGGTAATCCTCATTCTACAAGGAAGAAGCCTTTTTGCAAATGAGCTCTTTCGCAAAAAGGCATATATGGATGGGGAAGAGGGAGTTCTTTCGGAAGAACAGGAAAGAGGAAAAAGCAAAGGTGAGGTGGTGGCCATTCTATCCATAGCGATCACAGCTTACACATGTGAGAGTGTGTCCATTCAGTCTGGATGCACTCTTTCGAAAAAGCAGATCGCTTTTTTGATGCACTTTTACAGTGTGGATGTTCTCTTTCAGAAGAAATTTTTGCAGAAGATCTCTTCTGAAAAAAGCTTTTTTCAAAAGAAGACTGTAGTTTAGACGTAGCCTTGGAGATATCAAGTTAGTTTCTTGGTTTTTTGCTTCGGATTGGTTTGACTTTCCCTGTTGATTGGTTTGTATTTACTTCTCTTAAGTGATTTTGCTTAGCTTCAGGCTCTTTCCCTTCTTGGTTTGTATTTCCTTCTCTTAAGTGATTTTGCTTAGCTTCAGGCTCTGTATTCAAATAGACTACCATTGTGAAGTGAACAATACGAAATCATCAGGCAGAGGGGGATGAGTATCTGTTACCCCCTTCCTGAGAGGAACCTGTCCAAGACATGTCAGTTCCTGGTGACGGGCCTTAAGGATAGAATTTTTACTATAGACACATGAACAAATAACATATTTAGTTATTTTGCAATGATTACAATGACCAGCGGGCCACCCTTTCACCACTGAAGAAGGAGTTAGACTTGAATATTTTCCTGGAATGTCCTCTCTAAATGTGCTTTTTAAATGACTATTACTATTATTGTAGGGATTGGTCCAGGGCCAGAAGACAAGGGGAGTCCAAGCTCAAACTCACTGACTCAAATACCTTTGAAAAATCTGACTGGCAGTAAGTTGTTCAAGGTCAGTCGGTAACTAACGCCTCATGTAGTAGAGAGGCACCTCGTAGGAGTTACCAAAGGAGGTTAGGCTGTTCCAGTCCCCTACCAACTTAGGCACTTTTGTAAATTCTACTTGGCGCCTATCTGGATATTTGGCAGCCTAAATGCCTTTGTAAATCAGGCTTTCCACCTTTGGAAGGCCTGATTTACAAGTTCATCAGAAGCAGGGATTGGATAGGAAGAGTATTTCTGTTTGTCTCCCTGTCAGTCAAAGGGCGGAGGTAACTCTGAAATCACTTTTCCACTCTCCAGCTAGCTGTGTTGCCAGGGCAAGTGGCTTGAAAGAATCAGGGGGAAAGGATGAGACAACGTTCTTTTCAGAGGTGTCACTTTAGGGGCACTCCTATGCAAGGGTCTGATTGCACGAAAGAATTGATGGATTTTTTAAAAAAGTTGGTCACATCTCATTTTCTCAGGTATTCCAATGATACAATACTTGTCTGTATAATTGAGCAAATATAAATTAATTTGTGTTGTCCTTTTAATAATCTAAATTCCTAATTATCTCTAGTGCTATTCCATTTTATAGGCTCAATCCTGTGAGTCGCTTAGCAGGATAAAATCCCATAAACATATGGCATGGTTTGGTTCCATAGATCTTAGACAGCTATGGTCTTTTAAATGAGAAACAATCTGTATATATGGGACTTCAAATATAAGAGCAGTATGTCATAATAACACTCTCCGTTTATAGGAGCTAGTATGGATTTATTAGGATTATTTTATAATCAATCTCTGCTGCTTTAGAATGCTGAGATCCTAATTTAAATTCCATTTATCAAGTCTGCAAAAATAAACTTAGAGGAATAGCAACATTAATGAATTGCTTTCCCCTGTCTTAATTTGGAGATTGCTATTTTTCTAACTAAATGTTGCACCTGGCACGAATGTCAAATCAATTTTTGATAGATATATCCTGTTTGAAAGGATTAATGAAAGATTCAAAATTACAAGAATTATTTACTTTATTGAAAACCTCTTAGAGAATATGATTTAAGCCAGGGACAAGCTTTTCGGTGAATCTAGAACTGCAGGCTACACACTGCAGAGTTTAGACTGGAGAAAGTTCATTTGAAAGTCATGTTTCCAGTATAAATTACATACAGTTGTGCAAACATGTCAAAGTTTGGTAAATTGGATTTGTTTAATGTAAACAATTTTTGACCAAAATAATAACACAGCTTTAGAAAAAGACATTATGCACCCACTTCTGAAAAGTTTGTATAACTTAACACACGCCAGAACTTCACTGTAATTCTGTGCAGAAGTATATGAAGGATAACTATTTAGTAAGATCTAACCTCCATAAAAGAAATCTATAAACATGCTTTAATTTCTTGTACTAATCTTTGTTCTAAACACTGGCCCATTGAAGCATACACACACACATCTATAGGCTCTTGTGTCAGTTAAAAGAACAATAAAACATTGGGTAAATTGTTATGATATTAAAACTTAACTGTTCAAATGTGAAATATATTTGAAGTGCAGCTGTGACATATTTAAGCTTCTTTTTACGTTTGTTCCTGGGGCCATTTCTGTTGGATGCAACATAAAATTGTGTGTCAAATTAAGAAGTGGTACACTAGTAAATGAACAAATGATCATAGCAATAAGTGGCTTTATTTTCAGAGGCACTTTTAGGCACCTCCTCTGCAAAAGCTGGAGTTTAATTTGAAGCATTTGAGTACCCCCATTGGAGTTTATGGTGAGGTTAGGTCTACTCGTCTGCTCAGAGTTAAAGATATGTCTCCATCTCTGCATGTTCTTAATCAAACAGCCTGAAAGTTGCTGACTTTGGGCTCAATCCTGAAAAAATTGTGGAGCAGGCTGACCCCAATCCAGCCGCAAACATTTAACCATGCACTTAAGAACAAAAATACTCTTGTTGTCTGGCTATCCCGAAAGAAGGACAGGAGACATTGGCATGGGATTAATCAGGCCACAACTTAATTATTAGATGCCTAGGACTACCCAGCAGATAACAGTGTACGGTGGAGGTATCCATCTTGTTTATTCCATAATTACTTGAGGGGCTTTTACTGGCTCCCCCTCTTTCCATCCTCATCCCTCCAGCAAATCCATTGCTGGGATCTTACCATATTTGG